GTAATTTCCTTACAGTAAACTATTTTTCGCTCACCGGCTTGCTTGTCTTTGCCTGATAAAAGTAATGGTTAATATCACAAAAAATTTAAATTAATATATATATAATAAATTTACCTCAAGCTAATTTTTTTATCACCAAAAATCTCAAACTGGTACACTTATGATAAATTTACCCTCCGTTAATTTCCGTTAAATTTTACCGTCAAATTCCTTAGTTTGATGACACATGGTAGTTGACGGATGTACCAGTTTTGGGTTTTACCCCTCATTTTGTGTTTTTCGTGGTATTAATCTAATTTAACGGAGGATAAATTTGTCACAAGTGTACTAGTTTGGGATTTTTGGTGGTCAAAAAATTAGTTTGGAGTAAATTTGTCACAGATATACCAATTTAGGGTTTTTGATGGTTAAATTTTTTTGGTCGAAATAGTTAAAAAATTAATTTGGAATAAATTTATCACACGTGTACCAGTTTGGGGTTTTTCGTGATATTAATCCTAAAAGTAAATAAACAACTTTTTGCCTTCCCACAAAAAAAAAAAACTAAGACATTATTCAAATTTCAGATGAGATATGTTACTCTTTTTTGGTCAAAAAATTTCCATTAGTTATGAAAACTTTAGGTACTATTGAAATAAAAGAAAAAAAATCAAAGTGCGTGCACTACTCTCCATGACCATCGCAACCATTATTGTGGTCGTCGTACACAACCATGACCTCTCTCTCTCTCTCTCTCGTACACAACCGTTATTGTGGTCGTCGTACTTACCTGACTATCCAAGATTGGTCGCTCCTCTAGGCAACATTGGTCGTTCTCTCGAGTTAGTTTGGTCCGTGTTCAGACCCACAGCTTTGTCTAGTTTAATTAATTAAAATTATGTGAAGAATTAGAACATATGGAGGGGATCCGAAGAAATGATCACCAATTCAACTAAACCTGAAAATTTTACATTCAAGTTATATCGGGATAATAATTAAAAAAAAATGCTAAATATATTGTAAGGATGCAATTCAATCCAAAACTTTTCAACTTGATCAATTCAGACCCACCCATTTTGACAATTTGCCAATATAGTTATTTAGACCAATTTTGGACATAAATTGCTAATGTGGATGTCGGCCGTCTTACGTGGCATTGCCAGTGCTAACAAAAAAAATTGCAATTTTTAAAAATAAATTATAAACTTTTTATATAGGTCATATAGGTTTAATTGGTCTCATGACATGCATGTCATATATTATGCGTCATTTAGTGAGTCTCATGCCTAAGAGTTTATGCTTAACAATTACATCACGTAGATTAATTAATAAACATATCTCGTGCCTATAGTTTGATTCTAATGAAAAGAGAATACCAAAAAAATAGATCACTATTCTTTCTAATAAAATTCATTAGGTCATGTTTAGTGTCCTAGAGTTTAGTTTTTTATTTATAAAAAAGAAACACAAAACTAGTCTCCACATAGTCGAATAATAGGGTTAATTTATGATTAATCCTACTCCATGTCATTAGAATTGCATATAGGTTGCATTCAATTTAATAGCATGCATGTCATTTAGTATTTTATGTTGGTCCATCAATGCACGTTAGATTAGAATTCATATAGTCATAACATTTAAATTAAATCATGTTTGCTTTAAACAAGAAAAACCCAAAATATTAGAATTACATCATTACATTTAGAAATCATATCTAGGTCATACATACATTATTTGGTCTTTAGTTTACATTTTGCGGAACACTGAGCGCTGGATGATAGTTCCACTTTTCCTTTGCTTAATGCATCAAGGTTTTTTGCTCTTCTTCTAGCAATTTATATATTACTTTGATTTATTGAATGTTAAATTCTTGTATGTATATTCGCATGATCACATCTCACATGTTAGTGATTGATTAATCTGGTCTAGTGTTACCAAATCCCCAAATCTATGAAATTTTTGGTTTGTGGAAGTAAAATATTCTCCCAATTGAATTGCATGTTTATATGATTAAACTAAAACCCAAAGTTGCGATTAGTTGCGATTGGTATGCGCTTGGGAGAATTCGTGCTAAGTGCTTGCTTAGTAATCCATTAATTTTCCCTTGTTTCACCTCTGAGAACGAGGCGACAAACCTTAATTTAAAGTTTCAGGCCTTTTCAAAATTCTCACTGGGTGGTGGAATTACTTGGCCTAAACTACCACCATTATTAAATTGAGCAGAAGTTGAAGGAACATACCCAAGAACTACTGGATTTCCTTGTACTTAAAATGGTTGGTTGGACGACCATGGCTTAGAGATGATGTTGACAGCATTAACGATCATATGCCTAATAATGTCTGATATGTGCCTCAGGACATGGTTGGCCATATCCCTTTGTTGTTCCTCTAACAACCTACGCATAGTAGCCACTGCAGTTGAACTTGGCTCCATTTCTCTCCTTTGCTCCTCCGTGAGATGCCATGTGTTGTAATATTAATATGAATGCGAAAGTTAACCCGGTCTTGCAAATAAAGTCAACACGAAAATCGCCAGAGAAATAACGAGGAATAATAAGAACACCCAAGATTTACGTGATTCGGTCCGACATATTGATACCTATATCAACGAGGAGAGTCAGTATCAAATAATCCATTATAATCGGTGAATCCAAGTTTACAATCGCTCGCTCACACACTCGAGTGTTTTCCACGCCTAAATTAAATCAAAATCACAAGTGTTTACAAATAAACAATTCAAATGGATAAAATAAACTCACATCACAAATCAAGCATCCGTGGTCATGTTCGTGCGGCTCCCTTCTTCATTTTGTGCTGCTTCAATGAGTGGCTGACGGAGCTCCCACAAAACTTCACTATTCGGAGATGAAGAAAACGGAGACCTACAGTGAAGACTTCATGGCCGAACAGTGGCTTGCACAAACTGTGGAGTTATGTTGCAATCCTTCGACTCCAAGTCGATCCTACAAGGCCAGAAATTCCATGCACGCATGCAACGGTGGCAAGGAATTGTCGATGGTTGCTTGGTAGCGCCGCCAGACGTCAGGATATCGTCAAGTTACTGGACTGCCATTGGAACACCGGTGATGGAATGGAGAGCGCCAAATCTGCTGGGTTTACTTGCAAGAAAACTCAGCGATCCCAACAGGACTGTCAGTGTGGTTCGAGATCGCTGTTACAAACTACCTAGACAGTGATGGGTAGTGGTCGCGTAGCCGAGAACAAGTCGGGAGTCGCTGGAGTCACCCGGTGGCTTGTTTACGATGGACTTGTAGCTTGCTGCCCAAGGTGCGTCGAGGCTGTGAGAATCTGCGAGGAATTGCTGGTGTTGCTGGATGTGTTGGGTTACCGGGTTGACATCGAGCACTGGCGTACTCGTCCGAAGAAATCACCGAGATCGCTTGCGAGGAGACTGGAGATGATGGTGGGATGCAATGCTGATGTGATCCACGTACTCTTGATGGCGTGAACGTGTGTAGACCCCCTTTTGCGATGACTCCTGGCTAAATAACGCGATGGAGATAGTCACAAAGTAGTCAAGTAACAGATGGACAGAGAAAACGATGAGGGTGGCGATGTGTATGAGTATCGCCGTGAAGGAAGCAAGACCATATGAGTATTTGACGTGATGGATTCTGCTCCTCTCCTCTCATTCAGATTATCTATCGAACCCCTCTGTGTTTTCTCCCCATTCTTTGTTTCTTTTCTACTCTCTGATAGTGCCTCCGTGAAGATGATGATATGAAGTGACTCTGAAAATGTGGAGAACGTCCTCGTCCCCGCTCTTCATTGCTTTACAATACACCTATTTAGCCAATCTCCTTCTTTGATTATCGCCCCAACCATTGCCCAAATCTCTTTTCTTCCTGTTCAGTTATGGAAGTGACTCGATCTTTTCCTTGTATGATTATCGAGATGCTGGAAAGTCAAAGATTTGGTGGAGCAGTCTTCCTGCTGATTCTTCTTTCGACTCAAGGATTCCTCGTTTTCTTTCTTTTCCTTTTACTTGCTTCCCATGCTGACCAATCCATGCTTCACTTTCCTATCATTCGCGGAAAATATCCCACCAATTCCTCCATTTAGCTGACCGAAATTTGCTGGATTGATTGGTCACCTTGTCCCAATTGAAATTCGACCCAGTCAGCCCATAGTTTCCTCTTTGTTCCGCCCAAAAATCTTCCCATGTTGACTGAATCTACACAGGCCATTCTTTCTCTTTTTTAGCTCCCGATCAGAATTGTTTGCTTTTTGCTCTCATTCACCATTCACGGCCAGCCATAATCACCGCATGCAATCTTATTTAGGCAAAAGGGAAATATTAGGCTGATTACAATGCAATCCCCGATCGAGCCAATGTCATTCACGACCGGACCCGCTTGAGTGCTATGAAGGTGTTACTAATGCCTCCAATGAAAATGTGAACTAATGTTACGGGGGTTGCTAAAATTTAGATGTTAACAATCTTCAAACTATTTCTCGACTCGAGTTGGCCGAGGTGACACCGGACGGTCCCGTTACCCGACCGACAAACCGTGGCCGCCACATAGCAGGTATGCTCTGTTATGCCCTGTTTTTGGGCACGCCGAGCCGGAGCTCGAGGCCGCCCAGCTCACACGAGCTCCGACCCTCATCGGTCCTTTGTGTGGCCTTTATCTACTCTGTTGTTTGTCTGTTGAGAGATCCGACACAAGCTCGAGTCCTGGTTGGGCCAGAAACCTCACGGTTCATCGGCATGTATTGGGTGTTCGATAAAATGCCCTTGTGAGTTCTGTTGTCGTTTCTCTATTTGTAGCCGAGCCCCTTTTTTGGCTGTGAGTCGACCTTGCCAGCGTTTTGGGGCCGTCCACGGCTTCAGCCCGCCTCGGCCCCATCCCTTTTGTTGCTTTGGTGTCCAGCCACGGAGTGTGGCCCTTGGCCTGAGCTGGCCGAGGCGACGCTGGAGTGGCGTGCCGCCAAGCCGAGAAGAGCGGTGCGGGGGGAGGCAGAGGATCAGTCAAGTCAAACTAGTCGGAGCCGAGTCGGGTCAGTCTCTATTAGCTTCTCCGAGCTAGGCTTGAATAGAAATAGGTTATGGGCTGGGCCTGTTTAGTTCAATATTAGATTAGGTTTTATTTTAATTTGGGTCGGGCCTTTCTTTTTAGTTTGGTCGGACTAGGCTCAATAAAATCGAAAACTAGGATTGGGCTAGGGAATTGCCTTTTCTTGCCTTTTAATGTGATAAGTGCTATGCTTGATTGCGTATGTTCGGTTCACATGTTTTGAATTGTATGTTTAATTCGATATTGCATGTGGACGTTTAGAGGCATGTTGGGCCATTTTTTGCACTCTTCCGATGTATTGAGTGTTGCCTCCCTTTAGCCTGGTTAGGAAGAGAACCTTATGGCTCCCAACACGCAAGTTTGCCGCCTTTACCGTTTTGATTGATGATTGAACAAGATTAAGTACCGAAAAGGTACTAGTTTTAACTAGTGTAATCAAGTTCCCGAACTCTTTAAATCTCTAGTTTGTAAGAGTAAGGCAATTCTCATGTTGCCTTACTCGAGTATCTAATCAACCACCCTAAATTGATTAATGCCGACTCCTAGATAAAATTGATTTGCATGTTAATAACTTGAACCTTAAGTCGCGAATTAGTATGGGCTTGGGAGAGCCAAGTTAAGTCCTAGGTTTAGACTTAGTAATCCATTAGCCGTAAACTTCTGGAGCTCGGCTCGGGGAGATTGCGACAGCTGTCAACACTCTTGCTTCGGTCTCCTTCGCGTAAAAGAAGTGTTGAATATCCATTGCCAAGAGAAGCGAGTAGATTGCAGAAGCTTGCAGATGGCAGCTGAATGTACAAAAGCGACTACATCAATAGTTGGAGATAGCTATTTCGAAAATGTTAAGTTCCGCCGCACTTACACATGCACACATGTACATTTTTGGAAGTCTACACATGAAAACAGTGAAATGAGAGTAAGTATTAATTTCATCCTCCTTGAATTAAACATAGAGATGGAAAGAAGTTCACAGATTACAATTGAAGACCAGAGAAGGCCGCTGAAACGCTTCTTAGAGCAGCATCTTCCCAACGGAAATTCAGCTCCTCACTCAGATCGTCCTACAATCTAAAACTTCCACTGTCTTATTGAAATGTCAATATAGGAGGAACAACCTAAAAGCATGTTCATGACACACGGTACAAGAAGAAGATGAAAAGAACGAATGCATCGGTTCGGTGTCTACAGTTTGAGTTTATCGATGAAAGGAACCGCGTCATCAAGCTTGCGGTTTAAGAAGCACTGCATGTATTCAGAGTGCGAAAGGGTTTGGAAGATAGGGGGGAGTCCAGTGGCGGCAAGGAGCTGTGGTGAGGGTCCAACTGGAAGAGACGGGCTGGGATAGCAGAAGGTTGCTATGGACACCCTCTCCTTCTCTTTGTTCACCACCGCTCTATGCTCCGGTGCTCTATACGTGCCATTGCTGTAAACCTCCATGATTTGACCTAAATTCACAACGATGCTGCCAGGAACGGGTCGAACCATGACCCAGCGGTTGTCCTTGCTAACGACCTGAAGGCCAGGGATGTTGCCACACTCCGTCAACAGGGTGATCCCTGGGATGTCGGCATGAGGCAACAGGCCTAGTGCTCTCTCAGGTTCCGGGCATGCTGGGTAGTAATTCATCCTGACCTCGTATTTCCCTTCTCCGAAACTTTTCATCAACAAATCCAGTTCACCTTCATGAATCCCCAACGCCATTCCAATATACTTCATTACTTCCACTGCCAGTTTCCTCATATCTTCGCTGTATTTCTCCAGTGCTATCCTGATCGATTAGGTATTCACAATCAACATTTGCTTAATTTGGCTAACTTGAAATGCATATATATAACATTAATGAAAAAGATGGAAACCAAATGACCTGAATTCAGGGGGATTTTGCTGCCAGAGATCGAGATTTCTTGCATGAAGAGGAAGGCCTTTGAGGAAGATCATGTCGTTCCACTCCAGCTTCTGGTCGTGAGAGGTGACGAAAGCCTGCCCGTAACCTTCGAGACTTCCGGGTCTCTGGGCTGACTTTTGCTTCTCGTGGTAGGGCAGTTCGAAGAACCCTTGCACGTTCTCTTTCATCATCCTCATCCCTTCATCTGACACTCCATGGTTCACTAACTGCACATTCACTGCAACATCACGACCCTCTGCTTTTCCAAATTCAACCCTATTCCCATGAAGATACTATCATGATCCTTCTATTTTTCGGTGACAATGGTTCATATCATACACGAAGATAATACTGATCAATGAAATGATGCTAATCATGTTTCCGCAAGATCATTTTGATGGATTCTAAATTATTAACCATTTCAAATGCATGAAATGACTCACCAACTTGACGTACTCGTTTAGACGAAAAATAAAAAGAACAGGTGGGTATCCAAACGCAAGGTTGGGTAAATAATCAAACATGGATAGCGACTACCTGGAAAGCTTATGAAAAGTGTAGTTAAAGCCGTTTTGTATTAGCAAGGAAATTGAGCAATGAAAAGGAACGAAATTGAGATACTTCATTCGATACATATCGGTAAAATAAGTCAGCTCTACTGTCTGCACATAATCGGATCAGAAGGCATCAGCATCGAAGTCCTTCAGTTTGAGATAGATTATGCAGTAAAAAGAGGGGGTATTGTAACATCAACAGACAGAAGACTATATGTATTTAAGCTAATGATCAAGTACAAATCGTACCAGGAAAAGACCCCACTGGTGGCAGGCAGAGTGAAGGTTGCGAAGCTCGGTGGATCGGGAAGGAGGGTCCATCAGCTTCCCCAGGTCAACGCAAGGCAAGCCCTGCAACGACTCTTGACGGTGTTCGGCCAGTCCCACGTCGTCATGGAGGTACCTGGGGGCCACAGCATCCGGCTGTCGCTGCCTCACCAGCTCTTGCACGCTCGGCACCGGCAGCGTCCAGTTCAAGTTCGCCCTCTCCTCCTCCTTCATTTTTTGCCTCTCCTCTGTTCCCTCCGCTGTCTGATCTCCCCTCCGCCTGATTTCTTGAATTGACTATGGGATGCTGATCGCCCACCGAAAAGAAGGACAGTCAACTTTTGATCAGTATTCTACTGTTATTGGACACAATTCAGCCAGTAGGTGTTGTGCAAGTCCTGTTTATAAAAGTACTATCAGCGATATCTGTAATAATGGGCTTAAATAACCCATTATTTTGTTTAGAGCCCAGTCCATTAATTCACCCTTTGTCTTCAACGCAAGGGTTGAAGAAGCAGACCATCGGTGACCGAAAACAAGAGGGAAAGAAGAGGACGCACGCAGAGAAGAAGAAAAGGGGGAAGAGGGAAAATCTTCGTGCGTTTATGATCCATACCACTCGACAAACCGAATCAACGCCGTTTTGCAATGCCGGGTAAGTAATCGAGGCCTCTATTCGTCTAATCATAGTGATTTCGGAAATTATGACACAAATTTGAAGGAATATTGATTTTGAATTACGATACTCGATTGAGGAGTTATTAAGCTACGATTTTGTGTGAAATGATGGTTTATGGTGTTGTAGAGCGGTGGGGTTTGTCAAGTAACTATTTCGAAGTATGGTTTGTCCAGGACGAATTTCATAGGTTTCGTGTTCGAGTTACGCATATTGGATAATACGCGTAACGGATAAAAGTGAACATCTGCTATAACCGAGTTTATTCGTTAGCGTTAGGAGTGGTTTTATCGACAAATAAGTGTAGTTCAGTCGAGTAGTTAGTTAAAAGTAGATTTTACTTGATTTTTGATATCGTATTTCGGTTAATTGTTACGAATTCGAGTGCATTGGCTCAAGTAACGACATCGGTTGGTTTTCGACTTTTCTCAGATGAGTGGTATTATTTCTTCTATGAATTTACAAGCTTATGTTTTGAAAATGGCAATGTTATAATATAGTCAGAGTTATTAAGAGCATGTTTTCTGCATAAATGGGATCAAACTTTTACTATCTTTTAGTCAATTGACAATGTATGAGTATTTGTGAATGTTTTGCTTAAATATTTTGTGAAAGGAATTACCAAAAACTGTTTGTATTGGATGCGAAATGTTTTATAAAATGGATTCTATTTGATGATAGAAAATGATTATGTGATTCAGTTTGTGAAACCGATTTATGAAATGACTTTCTGATATTAATTGTGAGTTGTCAGAGAAAGATTTTGGTTGTTATGGCTCATATCGCTATGATGAGAACCCATTGAGGGGGAGTATGCATACTCTTAGGACTTCCTTCTAGGCTGAATCGCTGGCTGATATAGGTGGTAGACCTAGCCAAGGGGGGTAAACTTGGCCGCTTTTGTCACGGCGTTAAACGTGAACATATTTTGATAGTGAGCATTAGATTCATCAATGGAATGGTCCATCGACGTGTGATTTGATGAGATTAGTCAATGGATAGACCATTGATGGTTGTTGTTGTCAAGTAGGTTTTATTGACTAATCTTGTACGTTACAAAGTTTCGTTGGAAAGCTATCATATATTTTTTTATATTTTATGTATACCATATATTAAATTTGTGACGAGGAGTTATGATGTCATTTATAGCATTGCATGTGATTGTTCGATCCGCTTAGAAGAAATATATTACTCATTGAGCCGTGGTGGCTCACTCCTTTCATTTTACTTGCTTTTCAGGTTCTTCAGCAAGTCACAAGTAGGGCGTGAGCGTACCATTCTCAAGGGGACTTTTGGTGGTGGGGATTTTTTGTATGGGATGTCTATAGCTAGTGAGCTTCTAAGTTAGTTGTGGTAGATATGTATATATCTTTTAGATAGATTATAGTGAACTCTGATATTGTAACCAGATGAATTTTTTATCGCATATATATTAGGTTGAATTTAGGTTTTATTGAGGTTGTCCTTGCGTGTTAGGACGGCCGTGTTATGCCCTTACTCTTTTGAGTTGGGGGTGTGACATATATCAACTGCGCAAGAGCGGTTTGTGAGGAGAGCCTAGAATTCAGACGCGAAGACAATATTATTTAGGTTTAACCTACGAGTAATGTAGACATAATCAAACGTAGTTCAGAAATTGCATGAGATGTCGCGTTTTTATTATGAATCAATACGAGACTCACCCGTTCTTTATATATGATTGACTTAATCCGTTTCATCTGTACAATTCTTGCTCATAGACGATGATTGCATCCTAGGAATAGCAAAATGGATAGGGCGTATTTGTTCTATCTCACCAGATGCCGAGGATGTAACAAGATATAATATCATGTTCATAGTCCCACGTCCTATTTTTATGTTAGAAGTACTCATATCATAATGGTAAATTAATCAGCACGATTAACATCCTAAAAATGTATTTATTATCTCTTCTTTCCGTTGACTTTGGTAGTTTGGCAATGCACAATAATGTTGACTAAGTGCGCAAACCTTGGGATAAAAATAATGAATGTGTACTGCATTATGGTCATTGACTATAGACGTGTTTATTTTTTTATGTGTTTATTTTAGTGATCACGTGGGTGTTTGTTAGCTCTTCGTAATCGTTGACTTACCTGAAAACTACGCATGCATTGGGTTCGAATCATATACTTTTTTTCTTTCGTAAAGGGACGTTGCACCAACCATATAACTTATTTAAATCCAAGAAATATTTAATGCATTGCTAATAGCCATGAGCCTATTTGATAATCCAATTAACTATTGAAGATTAAAACAACCTCGTTAGACAGCCTGAATTAGTATGGACTTAAAAGATTTGATGATTCATATTTCCCCCTTATCTATGGATCAGGAGCAATCTCTTCCTCTTTCAATTTTTGCAGTCACCCTCATAGCTTAATTCATTGCGAGTAGAACCAAAACTGCCAGAACTTTCGCCGATAGCTTCATTTGAATCGAGGTGTCGTTCTGCTGTAAATTTTATCAGATGAAATACGTAGTATTCAAATTTGAACTATGCTGCTCAGTTTGATAGCCTGGAGAGGAGACATCTTCCGCTGTGCAATCACCATGCCACTGAGAACATTATGGACTTTGGAACAATAGAGAACGACCTGGGACAAAAGCATACCGCGAATCCAAGATTCTATGTCACCACAGAGAGTCACAGCGTCACGTCAGGAACGAACACTCTGCGAGGTTCAGTCAGGTAAGAACAAGAGGATTGGAGTGTTTTAGTTCACAGCAATCAAAATTCAGATACAACCAAAATGAAAGAAGGGTCTTCACAAAACTTATGATTTCTATTTGAAGACTTAATGAGTTAAGTTGGTACCTGTCGGCCAGGAAATTATGGCCCCTTCCCCACCAGACAGCTTCCTCCCACATCGGAAATCTACCCCCTACTATGCGAAAGCGAAATAATATTGCAAGCCCCTCCAACATGAGATCATCTTCAGCTGATAATTTAAGAGCAAAATTCAAACAAAAAAGTATGGGACAAGTACGCCCTAAAACTTATCATGAAAATGTAATTGAGCCCTAAAATTTATAAAAAGTATAACAGAGTCCTAAAACTTGTCAAATCGATACAATCGAGCACTTTCATTAATTTCGTCCAACTTGGCTAGCGGAAAATGCTGATGTGTGGCTTTATTTAATATTTTTTCTCACCTACGTGGGGATGACGTGGCCAAATTTTAAAAAATAATATTAAAACAATGTCGTTTTGATCAAATGATTTTTAAATAAAATTAAAAAAATAAGCTAATTTTTTTTTAAAAAAAAGAAGAAACCTGGTGGAGAGAGTTGCAAGCCGCAATCCTCACTACCACCGCTGCCCCACCATCTCCGAGAAGGGCCAGCAAGGGTGGGAGATGGCCGGTGGGGTTCGCTAGTGACCTTCACCGACCATAGATGAGGGTCATAGCGCTGCCCCATTTTGGGCAAGGGTCGCTGGCCCTGGCCAATGCTTGGCGACCTCCGCCAACCATCCCCCATCCTCGCCAGCCCTTCTCAGCAATGGTGGGGTGGCAGAGGCAAGGGCTTACCCCCCTCACCAGCTAGTTTTTCCCATTTTTTTATAAAAAAAACTTCATTTGTAAATTTAATTTAAATAATATTTGTATTAAAAATCAAATTTAAACCAAAAGGATGTCTTTTTAGCCACGTCATCGCCATACAAGATAGATAAAATAATATAAAAAAAATCATATCAACATTTTCCGTTAGCCAAACTGGACGGAGTTAATGGAATGATTCAAGTGAACCAATTTGACAAATTTTGGCACTTGATTGCACTTTTTGCAAGTTTAAATATTCAATTGCTTTCATGACAAGTTTAAAACTTTCAATGCACTTATCCCAAAAAGTTATCGACTACTCTAATCAGTATAGGGAAAAGGACATTAAAAGTGTTATAATATTTGTATGTCGCTCAGTATCAAAACTTTTCTAGCGATCATTTGAGTGCCACTTTGAGTTATAAGAAAATTCAACGTGGCAATTTATTTATATAAATAGTCCAGCATGGCTTGACGGCAAAGTGACTATTATAACGATGCCACTCTGTGTTATTTGCCTCAAATTAATGAATGTGGGGAATTGGGACTAAATTTGTTTTCTTCTTCAAACAGCTAAATTCGTTTTGTTCTTCAAATGAGGAATTGGGACAAAATTAGGTGTTGAAATTCCCAGTGGAGAGCAGGAGCAGAGTTTCCAAATTAAGCATGTTCCAGTCAGAATCGGACGAACAAGGGCAGCGAAAGAGAGGGAGCAACATAGTTACCAAAACGAATCGTTGTTCTTCGGAGTCGACTAGACATCGTGTAGTCTTCAGCCGGCCCTCGCGGAATGAGGGCCACCCACTAGCGAAATCACGGTGACCACAAAGATCTACACCAGACTTGCCAGAGCTCCAAAGCTTGCACAGTTGTTACCATCTTCTCTCACTATTGAGCGATTTGTGTTATTATCTGTTTGTGACTAGATTTGTTGTAAAGTTCTTGTTGCTATTCTGATATGAGATAAGAGTGCACAAGAGTGAAAGCATTACGTGCATTCTGATAGTGTGATATAGTATGTGATGAAGCAGTACTTTCAATATTGTAACTCTCTTGAGATTGCTAGTGATTCCATCTAGTGTTATGGCTGTTAGTGATGGAATGTGGTAAGCTTGGTTATAAAGCTAAATCACTAAATATCTGTGTGCACAATCTTTTATCTGTTTATTATTGTATGTATTTGTTTGATAAAAGCACCTAATATTATCAATATGTTTCTGCATCTTTCAGAGGGGAAAATTATCCGAAAAGTCCCAAACATATTGCACTTTTGTCAATTTAGTCATAAACCTTTTAATTTTGCCAATTAAGTCCTAAACCTTTTCACTTATTACCAATTGAGTCCATCCAGCCAAAAATTGGCAAAAGTGCAAGAGGTTTGTGACTTTTTAGATAATTTTCCCTCTTCTAGAGTTAACTTGAACTGTTTTGCAAAAAATGTTCGAAGTGTGTTTAAACAACCTATTCACCCCCTCTACGTTATAATGTTAGACTTAAATCATTTGATCAAAAATCAAATGTATTACAGGCGTCCAAAACACATTGATGCCATGTATTATTTTATACGTGAGATTACTGTCACGGGGAAACGCATCCGTTGAAAGAGTGTACACAGCGTATAATCCTGTAGACATGTTAGCGTAACCTACCCATTGACCAAGTTCCAATACTGGTTCGATTTGGTTAGCGCCTGCAGCAGATGAGGAGCCGAGAGGGGCTTAGGAGAGACGAAGATCGATGCGGATGTCGAGAGTTTGCCAGCGTCAAAAGATTATTCGGCTTTGGTAGTCAAGTTTTTATACACAACCAACGCATAGAGTGCCCATCACGTTGGACAAAATTCCCGAAGAAGGTATCTTTGTATCATGGCATTTTTGTTGGTAATCGCTAAGGAAAACTTAACCACTCATATAATTAACAAACGTGGAAGTCTAGCCTTAGGGTTTTACAATTGTAAAGGGTGCAAGTTTAGCTAATATTGCATGTTGCCCACGTCACGAGATCCCATGATCAATCTAGTTCGATCTTGCGTTAGGTTCCTGGTGTGACATCCCAAGTGCTTTTGCATTGGAATGACTTATGGTCATGGATTTCTTAGCTCGTTTTTCAACTGACGAGCCTATAGAACTGTCCTTAAGTATGGATATATGGTCTTAACCAGTATGTGAATTCTTGGTGGTAAGCGAGTGTCTGAAAGATGTGCATACAAAGATACCTGGCGATTACTCTGAAATACTCACCGAGGCATAACGACCGTACTAATATGCATGCAATAATTGTTAGAGCGACATGCGACTAGATTCGCATTGAATGAAAAAAACCGAATCAGACCCCTGAAGTGCAATGATGAAGCTTAGAAACACGCGCAACAAGAGGCAAGAAGCAGTCGACTGCAAATGCAAAGATAACTGCATAGTTGCATTAAGCGTATCCGTCTCTATAGTTAACAAAAGAACAGCAGACTAATCTTACTATGAAATTAATGATGGATCCAATAGATGGCAAAATCTGCTCATCAGCCACCGTCGTGAATTCTGCAAAACTGATATGTCGTCGATCTGCTTATATGTACATGTATGTGTATTTACAGTACTCGAAAATATACACTACGGTTTGGGGGGGGGGGCAGGGGGGGTTGTGGAGAAATTGGCAGAAAACTTTATCAACTGATGAATGCCTTGAGCAGCTTGGACAGCGAAATACTAGCAGCAGCAGAACCGTCCCTAAAAAAATTGGTCGCTTCAATGTTATTCCCATGTCGCTGAGATGTCAAACAAGATTGATCGTATTTGTCCCTCGTAATTTCCCTTGCTTTCCGTTGCGTCAGTTCCCGCACTTGAATCAGTAGGGAAAACGAAAACCTCCAGAAAGGTTGCACTAATCTGAATCCACTCAATAACTCTACCAGTCGTCAAGCCATTCGGGAGTATTGAGCTCCTCCACATCTCTAGAAGGTGAAACATGAAAAATGGTCCGGTCCTCGACATTATTACCGGAATGTTGAGTAATACGGGAGGTGATCTCATGAGGAACAGGAAAACTGTGGTCTGCAATCCCCTTCCAATCAATAGTGTCAAACCATGGATGACTTTTGACAGACTCGGGACCTTGGCTTCCCAGTCGTGTATTCTCATCAACATCAAGCAACTGGAAAGAAGAAATTGTCAATCTTTCAATCATTCATCTTAGTCATGGTTTTGGAGGGGTAGGGAGAGGGGAGATGTGCGAGGAAGATAAGCAAGTAGCCAGATATTTTGAAGAAAACCTTCGTGATGAGATCAATGGCTTCGGGGCAAAAAGTCTCGGGAAAAGATAGCTGGCCTTTTGCAATCTTTGCAAATGTGTCCAGCTCACTTTCCCTCCACGAACCAAAAGGCATTTCACCGTGCAGCATAAAATAGATCAAGACTCCCAAAGCCCACCTGCATGCATAACAACATAATCAGGATGCTGCAGAGGCAACTTCAAAGCAACATGGAACACGGTCTAGTCTGCAACTGCATTTCTAAACTAGACTTTAACTACATGAGAATCCTAGACCTCCATTGCCCACGCAATAAAAAAAAGGCAGGAGCACTTCCAGAATTATCTTCTAAAGACATGTCTAGTTAGTAGTAGTATTTATAGTCCTTGATCATACTACTGGACAATGCATCAGATGATTAAATTCCTTCAGCAACCCATTATTTGGCATGAATGTTTTCGTGACTATTGCCATCATCTTATTTTAGGGGTTGCTGCCAATCAAATAGACTTCCAAACTTCGATGAATGTCTTCAAGATGGAAAGTAAAACAAAATCCAGTCTCTTAAACCTAAGAAAAACTTTCTTTGCTTAGTGAGCAGTATCAAATGTGTTTTACATGAAAGAATAATGTATTAGTGACATTACCATAGAAAGACCTTTTTTTTTATCACCCTTTTACCCTCACTATCAAGAGGGAGCGTGAAGGATGAAAGAGAGAGAAAGTCGTTTACAGCAGTTGATATATCTCACCGAGATATTGCAAAGACGGTGAAATGGCAGAACAAACCACGCTAACTGCTTGAGACAAGTGTCAAACAAATTGGCTTTTTTTTTCAACATAATCCATTGACCTTGCTTTGTTTCCAAAATGCTATTGCGCTTGAGGTTTGACAATCTCGCATGTTAAACAAAGACAGCAATAGAACTATGCAAATTGCCTATTTCATCCTTAACTACAGATCAGGAGAAATCTCTTCCTCATTTGAGTTTTGAAGTCACCCTCATAACTTAATTAATTGCCAATAGAACTAAAATTGCCAAAACATTCGCCTACAGCTTCATAAAATTAAGGTGTCATTCTACTATAAATTTTATCAGATAAAATATGTAGTATTCAGATTTGAACTATCCTGATCAATTTGATAGCTTGGAGACATCTTTAATTGTGCAATCACCATGCCACCGTGAACATTATGGACTTTGGAACAAATAAAACGACCTGGGACAAGCATACCAAATCCAAGACTGCATGGCAGCACAGAGAGTCCCAGTGTCAAATCAGGAACAAACACTGTGTGAGGTTCAGTTGTGTAACAGCAAGAGTAGAGTGCTCTAGTTCGCAGCAAGCAGCAATCAAATTCAAATACAACCAAATCAAAAGAGGCATCTTCACAAAATTTCTGATTATCAGGCCAGATTGAGCATCTTTTTCAAGACCTAATATAAGTTAAGTATGTACCAGTCAGCTGGGAAACCATGGCCTCTTCCCTGGACAACTTCTGGTGCTAAATAGTCCGTCATTCCACATATGGTAAATGCTCTCTCACCAGACAACTTCTTCCCAAATCTGAAGTCTACCACCTACAATGCGAAAATGAAATAAAATTCCAGAACCACTCCTTTAATGAAAGAACATGAGATTCTCTTCAGCTAGTAATTTAAGAGCAATATTCCCCCAAAAAAACTTATTGACAACACTAACCTGTATATGTCCTGATTGGTCCAGCATTAGAACATCAGGAGACACAGCTCTGTAGAGAACACCATTCTGAAATTGGACAGAAAGAACAGTGAAAATGATATTTGATTACTTCTTCAATAAACAAATTAAGATATGAAAGGAGAAGTAAATAAAAATATGAGGCTCAAATTATTAAAGAAACAGCCAACCTTGTGTAGCACTTCCAAGGCATTTACAATGGAGGCAGCACAGAACCTTGCACATGGATCATCAAGTGGTGCGTATAGTATTGAAGCCAAAGGACAGGCAAGACAAGTATTTAGCAGTATGCCAGCTTGTCTTCTATCAGCAAAAGTGCATAAAACTTGTGGCATGCAAGCTGAAGGGCTTATATTCTTCATCAAATGCTTTTCCTTTAACACTTGTTCTTCCTTTCCAAGTTGTTTGACCTTCTGCTTCGAAAATCTTTTTAAACTAAGCAAACTATCTGAAACGAGATAAAATTATCAGTCACTCTTAAGTTCAGGCAATGTCGTTAATGAAAATTTTCAAGATCTCATATTTTGGTCAATCTCTGACAAAGTGGAAACCAACACTAAAGACATGGGCAATCTAAAGCCAAATGAGTGAAGTCATGACATAATGTAGACAAACACACTAACCTGATTCATTTAGAAGTACAAGCCCAATCTCGCTGCAGTCAGTAGAGTACAAGCACTTCTTCCACTCCTATGTTGATAAAAAGAATAATCTAAGAAACAATTTCTTTCAATATCTGAACTTTTTTTAGGAGAGGAGCAATTTCCATACCAAGCTGGAGGGGTCAACTTTATCTATGGCAGAAACATGGGTATTTTTGGTGTCATTGATGAATTCTGGATTAAGATCCCTTTCCCTGAAACATTAAATATCAACTGTCAGAAAAAGGAGTGAATTTTATGAGACACATAAAGGAAAAAAAAAATACATTGGAATTGACAGTTTCTATCCTGTAAAAGTTATGCCCCCTTCATTTAATATGAATCAGCGAACTTCCAAAACAAGATATGACAATTGAATATAATTTCACAACTCACTTCTGATCATCCTGAGATAGTTTTGCAAGAGGACCCACCACAGAATCAAACTTTTCCTTCGTCAAAATGGCACATTTGACATCACCAACGGCAACTCCACCAACTGAACCAACTTCCTCACCAAGAAGCACCCATTCACCAAAATAACTTCCCTCATTCTTCTCCAATGAGATGTCATTACTGCTCTGTCGACTATCCTCATCCTCTACATAATCACATTTGAGACTGCAGATGTTAGGATTCTTAATCATCTCAGGGTTGAAAGTGATCTTCACTAGTCCCTTCTGGACGATATACAGCCCAGATGGACCTTCATTCTACAACAGAAGTATAGCAGAGACATAAGAAGAGAGCAGACACAGCCATGATGAAGATAAATCTGCAACAAAAGCAGTCTTTACCATATCAAATATTGTCTGCCCATCAGAGAAGGAGACTTCAGAAAGAGAATCTGCAACATGACTAAGCTGCAAGATGGTTAACCTTGACAGAAGTTCCACAGACCTAAGCAACTTCAATGATGACAGATTGGAAAATTCTGACATAAGAATTCCTCGAAAATCTTCTCTCTTCAAAGCCCACAGAGTTCCATTAGTGACCGCTCGAACAGATGCCTGGAGTGGCTTGTTATACCTGTGATGACAATATTTCGTGAAGGACATTTTTTGGACTAATTATCATTCACAACTGGTAGTTGACTTCTAAGAATCTGAGAACTTCAAGAAATCAAGTTAACAGACAGACTTGACAAGAAATCAACCAAATTTCAAGGGGTGCATTGCAAGTCTTGAATATTGGCCGTGTTAGACTCAGAAAACTCATGGAAGAGAGAAATTTCAGATTGATCGAAAAAGCTCCAGTCATTGATATTAAATAATCCAGGTTTTAATAATTTTCAAGTTCTTACTTTTTGCATGATATATGTCGATAACTATTTTCAAGTTCTTGTCTTTATTTCCTCTCATTGAGATGTACTTTATTGTCAAGACTACACATTGGAAAACGTTTAGGTACAGCAACAAATGAAAGTGATAACAGAGTATAATTACATAAGTGCAAGCTCGCCAAAAGATGATAACTTCTCAGCTGTATAGCGCTGCAAAACCCGAGTTATCTCACCATTCTTCTCTTCCTGCCATAAAAATAGTTCATTAAGCAACGGATTTTGCTATGATTCCCAATCTCTAGGAGAAAACCTCATTACAATCATTGAGTCTCGCCAATGACAACAAATGAATACTCGACAATATATGGAAACTACTTCTGGAAATTCAATGAATATTAAAATTTACCAAAGCTACATCAGTGTGTATATCAATGTGAACTATAGATATTATCTGCATATATCAATCAAACCAGAACCTGTGTCGCTAAGACCTCGAATTCTCCATTGCCAACAACATAAAAACAATCACCTTCTCCACCCTGCAAAATATGATTTTTATGTCATTTCACATGTAGCTACACAGACGATTAGATGCAAAAGGACATTCAATTTCTCAGACAATAATGTGTATGTAGCCCAAGGTACTATCAGTGTGAGTCCTGTGTGTGACAATCATAGCAACTTGATAAAGTAAACTTTAAAGCGCCTCATCTGTATACCTGGTTTTGTCCATCATACATGCCAGTTCTTACTAATTTTATTCTGCAGTGCAAACTAAACCTGACCCTACTACATTTTGAGGTTTTCTAAATTTCTATATACTTTGATCACTTCTTCCATTATTTCCTCATTGTGAGATGTTAATGAACTATCTTGCCTTTCTGATATTTGGAATAAATAAGTTATGTTTATTTATGAGTGATACTCAGAAAGAAACACGACACCAACAAAAAGAGTGGAGAGAGAGAGAGAGACCTGCTCAACAACAACATCACCTGGCTGGACCTCAATTCTTTGCATGCAGTCCAGCAGAACATGACATTGAGAATCAGTAAGTTTTCTGAAGAGGAAATGATCATGCAATGCACGCTCAATGTGTGCCTGTTGCATGGATGAACAATGAATGAGTGCCTGACAAGTATAGTTAATAATTAGGTAGCTTCAGTTCAAAATTTACTTCTTCTTCCCAAGTCTTCCTGTGTGATGGAGGAGGAGGAACCCAAACTTGCCCATTTTCTAGAGAATTTTCAATAGCTCGAACGCGAGCCCTTGATAAATCATGCCTTACTCGTTGGTTCCTGCCACTCCAGCTAAAGGTTGAAGGAGATTCTGATCCTGTTACCTCCACAACCTGCGGAACCGGGGGTCGCAAAACAGCGCCAGGACTTGCTACTTTACGAGCAGTTCCCTATTATAAATGCATTTTAGTTCTCGTGGAGCAAAGCGTAAAATTATCAATTAAGCAAGTGATATTTATTGGATGCTCAGCAAATTGTTGAAAGCAGGTGTTCTTACTTCAGTCAGCCCATTAACATGCACAACTATCACTGTAATATCATCAGTACGAGTTTCATACTGAAGCCAAAGTCGATATGATTCAGCTACAATAGCAGCACAAGCATCACGAGGATCTTTAAATTTGGCAACCTGCAAAATTTTAGCAATATTAGAAGAACTGATAGGATAAATGAGAAGGAAAAAAATTATTCATTTCATATGAGGTAATCAGTAATTTGTCCTCGTCAACGTCTAAGAAATTTGAAGCAGCAGGGGTACACGAGGTTCATATTCCATATAATTAAAAGAAGGATAATTTTCTAATGTCAACATATCTCTTCTTCACAGTAACCGCCTTCTTATCTTTTTGATGTCAAGAAGAGATAGCTTACGATGTTGAGACAGTCCTTCAGTAAATTTTTCTTTTTTTGTTTAGGAAAAATAAAGCACCAACACTCTGCTAGGTAGACTTCTGCATCCACACTAAAGTTTAATATTGATTAAGTAGAAATAGCCTAATGTTCTTTGCTCTGCGAAAAATACTTTCATAATCCAAATTTACTTAACACTGGTCCACCAAGGTCTAGGAAAATGGCACTCTTTCCTAGCTAGTACATCACCCCAGCAAAAGAACAGCACTTAATATTCCGGTATTAAGCACGAGGTAAACAACCTTAATGCTATCTTACCATATCGACTACAGCTTGGCTGGAGAGAAATTCAAATACTCCATCACTGGCAAGCACAAAAAAGGGATGATTGGATGTGAGTTCCAGAACAACAATCTCAGGGTTGGCAACAACCCCTATGGTCTCTGCAATCGAGTCACCTAAGCTCCTCGTAAAAGCTGTACCAGGATACATTCCATCTGGTACCCAAACTCTAGGTGGATCGCCATCATCACCTTCTTCAGTTCCCCAACATTGTACATCAGGGTTCTTCAGCCCCTCGATCTGATCCAATGTGAGGACACGGGCGCCACAAAGCTTCACTCGTTCAAGCTCATCCTCTCGAAAAGGTGTCTGATCCATCGACAAATCGACTGCCACGATATCCTGCCCTCTCCGCTCACCTATAACTGCTCTTGAATCACCTGAATTAGCAACATATATAGTGCCGCCCCTAACCAATACCGTAATGGCAGTAGTCCCGCTCATACTATCGTCCAAGATATCAGCATGTAACTGTGAGTTAGTAGTCAGAAATGCAGAATGGCATGCCTCAACAGCATCCACGTGAAACTTACTATTTCGAAGCAGATTCTCACACAATGTCCTCTTAACAAACTGAGAGCACTGAGCTCCATACTCTCCATGCCCATCAAAGACTCCGAAAAAGCTATCATTCGGGTTCGTGCCAAACGGCGTGTGGATGCAGAAACTATCTTGGTTGGCCTTATCAAGAGCATCCGGGTAGTATCCTCTTTGCGACAAAAAGGAGTAACGCAATTCATAGTCTCCCGACGGCACCTTAATCGTTCTGGACCCATCCGGGGGCAGAAACTGAGCAGAGACCCTGGAGAGCCTAGTGATGCCCGCTTCGGAGTCTCTGCTCAAGCCCAGCTGGTTCAGCTGATCCCTGATCTCCGATTCCTGTCCATCCGAAGACCTGGGCGAGTACACGGGAAACTCGACCGCTCTACCGTTATCAGCTTCCTTGACTTTGGTCTCCCTCGGAGCACATATTTCGCCAATACAAGCTCTCGAATACACGCACCCCATGGCTACTGCATACGAGAAACCCCGCTACCCAACAACGGCGCCCCGACCCTTATCTCGCCGAAGAGGCACTACCCATCTAGCACCCGGAATCGGAAACGGTCACCGCCGCAAAAAACAGCAGCGCGAAAGACATCATCAGATTCACATCCAACGACCCGCCGAGCGACCCATGAAAGACCCCATTCACCAGCTGCAAGCAACCTCCGGAGTCCCCCGCTTCAGCTGAAACTCAACAAGCACATAGGAATCACGATTCGAAGAGATGGGCATTCGCAAACGCGACCGACCCAGCGAAGGATCCACGAAAAAATGCCGAAATGAACCCAATTCGCGCTAATGGAAAAAGAAAAGCAGGAGCGTGAAACCGTTACAGCACAGCACAGCAGCAACCAAGGAAGCAAGAAATAACCGATGAAAAAGGGACAAGAGAAGCGAAGTGAAGTGATGATGAACAGGGACGAAGAACACAACCCACAACGCCAGTCCCACTAGCGGAGCATAATTTATCAGCAATATTCAATAATTATTCAGAAAAGAAAGGCTTTAAGAGAGAGAGAGAGAGAGTTACTACTTGTTGAATGAATGGATAGACCAAGAGGACTGTGTTGAAAAGTCAAAACGAAGCGCACACCAATCAGCCCCCCTCTCTCCTCTCTCTCTCTCTCTCTCTCTCTCTCTCTCTCTCGCTCTCGCTCTGAGTCACTCGCAGCTCGCAGCGCAGAGGAAAGGAGTGTTCCGCGACGAAAGGCGATCGGGAAGAAGAAGAAGAAGAAGACGAAGATGGAGATGGAGATGGAGATGGAGATGGAGATGATGGAGATGATGGAGGAGGGGGAGAAAGAGAGTGACAGAGAAGGCGCAATGAATGCTGGACACGTCTCGCTAAAGCGGAGGTGTTTGGTTTTTCTGGTATTGAGGAGCGCGCGCGTGGGCTTTTAGTTGATACACACAGCACAAAAGGAGCTGGTGGCGGTGGGATTTGGCCTGGGATCATGACATCCTACTTTTAGGTTCAATCCCTATCCTGCTTCTAAAAGCCCTTTTTTTTTTTTTTTACGTTACCTTCTAAAAAAATCGCAAACTTTCACTTCGATCTTTAATTTTATCTTCGTTAGCCCGGTTCTGATATTTTAAAATCCGAACGGTTTATTGTCAGGATCCGCATCTTCACCGACATCCTCGCCTAACCAAACTCCAGATATTGATGATTTTAAAAAGGCCGATGGCAATTTTCGAACAAAAAGTTAATCGGGACGGACTCTAGAGCGGATGAAAGCTGGCAAATTCTCTTCTTTGGACAAAAAGAAATTTCGGGTTAGAATCGATATTGAACCTAAAGTTTTGGGTTTTTATTTTTTAATGGAATTAGGCCCCTTGAGAGTGTGAAAACTCCGCACCGAGTCGCATCCGTAGCATGTGTGGAGTGGTGGTAAGGAACCGTGAGGATCGAGTCAGATCAAGTTGGGTCAGATCGATATTTAACAATGGTATCTCGCCAATGACAATCATTGATAATGACGGGTTTCACTATGTGAGATTATTCAGGCCGGGTACAGGATGACGGTGGCTTTGAATTGAAGTCGCGATTCAATAGTATCCATATCCAACCATTAGGAATAAATTAGTCCTTAATTGTGTACACCTAGAAAATCCCATTATTCTGGGCTATGGATTGAATTCGAGAGCCACGCACACACCACCACCACCACCAATTGCCTCATCACAACAGTCGCTTTTTTCAAGTGGTCCTCCCCATTACACCTCTCTCTCTCTCTCTCTCTCTCTCTCTCTCTCTCTCTAGCTTATAGCTTATCTGGATTTTAGTCCCATTTCGAGTCAAATCCAATCTAGTGCCACAAAGGTTGCCCCGCCCCTTCGTAGGGTCAAAAGAAGTAGGTGGCTAAATTGATCGAGGTAAGAAAAAATTGCACCCTCAATTGGCTTTGGTAAAAGTTGTAATTCCGCGACAAGCGTGCAGACCTGCTAATAGAGAGATTAGGAGGGTGGGGCCGGAGAGTACCAAATTCGGAGTTCGATACTCGAGAGCACCGCGCACATATGTATGTAGTAAAGAAGAATGAGACCAAAAAAAAGTCGTAATTCCCTCCCGTGGTTGACTCAATATACCATGCTAACAGAAAGAAAGGGAAAAAAAAAACTAGTTTCTTAATCTAAATCATTTTTATCACTTAAAAAAAATGGGTCAAATGAAAAATGATTTCATTCTTAACATCAAGTATGTGCTTAAAAATCTCTGCCCCATCATCTCATTTTCCTTATCAATATACACAATTAAAATTACGAAAATCTTTTCTAAACCAATTTTTCAAAAGGTAATCCAAGATCATTCTTGTTCACCGTTTAGCAGGGCCGCTAGTAGTTCGGCCTCTTTCTTGGTGCGAAATAAGCAGAGCCGAAATGGTTAACCAAACTAATTTGCATCGTCTTCATCGCTAGTTAAGAACATCACTTCCTTTTTTCTATCTATTTTCGTTAGCGAAGATAGCAGACGGCCGAAAAGGAGAGGCATGTTGGACATAGCAACTTCAAATTATGCTACCTAGGCTGCCGATTCGTGTCAACCCGACACAGTCGGTCGTCTTGAAATCGTCGCCAATCTCACCTTCACGATGCGTTCCGCCTCATCGCACCGCCACCGAGCGCACTCCTGAGTTCCAACGTATGCTTTTCTTTCTTTCACTAACCAGTCACGGGAAAAGTGTCAAAAAAAGTCCTAAACTTTTTGTATTTGTGCCAATTTAGTCCTAAACATTTTTTTGGTGTCAATTCAGTCCTAAACCTTTTGCATTAGTACCAATTGAGCCATAAACCTTTTTTTGGTGTCAATTCAGTCCTAAACCTTTTGCATTAGTGCCAATTCAGTCCTAAACTTTTTTTTACTGCTAATTCAGTCCTAAACTTTTTGCATTTGTGCCAATTCAATCATAAACTTTTTGTATTTGTGCCAATTCAGTCCTTCCAGCTAATTAGCAATTAGCTGGAAAGACTGAATTGGCGCTAATTAGCTAGAAGGACTGAATTGGCTAATTAGCTAGAAGGACTGAATTGGCACCAATGCAAAAGGTTTAGGACCGAATTGGCACTAAGAAAAATTTTATGACTCAATTGGCACTAATGCAAAATGTTTAGGACTGAATTGGTACCAAAAAAAAAGGTTTAGGACTCAATTGACACAAATACAAAAAGTTTAGGACTAAATTGACACCAATGCAAAAAGTTTAAGACTTTTTTGACACTTTTCTCGACCAATCACCAGTCATCCCTTTGTGTTTGGTTAAGCTTTGGACCCCCCCTTCATATTGAAAGAAGAAAACTGACATCCCACGACCGGGCCAAGTGGGGGCTTGAATGTTGCTGAAACAATAGAATAACGTTACCCAAGCAAAAGCGGGCATGATACCTACCAAACCTCTGAAAAGCTGAGGAACATGTGGTGCTGCAGAGGTTTCTCTTTCGTTTAAAGTTTAGTGGGCCGTTTGTCCTCACTTCTTCGTCTCGTTTTATGACCCATTGCCCATGCATGGAAAAAGAAAAGACCGGAAGGGTCTTCACCCATCTTGTCCGAGTGAATCCATCGTCTCGAATTCTGGGGTAAGTTCGACGAGGATTGAATTCCCGATGGTCTGTTCATATCATAGAGAGAGAGGGAAAACAGGAGCCACGGTAAAATAAATGCAGTTCTTGCTCGGCGACCGCCTTGAGGAGTATCATTATAGAGGTGTTCACTCTGTCCTCCAGTGTAGGTCCCAAAATTGACTTGTAAGATACTAAATTACAGCCAAAGCTCTTACTGAAGGTGGTCATGTGCGAGCATCCTATGCATATCCGCGTCGAGTTAATCACCAGCTCTAAACAGAACAATACCTGCCACATGGTCGTCGCTTTCTTTATCTGGAGTCTAACGTGGTTACATCACATCATGCGTACTTGTCATGCCCTTCTTTTTGGCTCCAGGGGGATTGAGTCCGATAAGTACTGACATAACTCACGCATCGTGGGCACAATGCTGGTCCAGCCTCTATGACAAGAAGATATACTGTGGATCGATCCCACTCCTGATCTCCGAAGTCTGAACATGAATGGCAAGACACCACGATGCCGCAAGCTATTTGCTAGCTTTCTCTCAAACTGTTTTACAAAGGCAGCTCTCGGACGACTAATGGTTGAATTGAACCGATAAAATTCATGCATTTCCGCAATACTAAGAACCTGGAAGATGTGTTCTGCAAAGTTTTACATACTAAGTGATGCGTTGACCGCGAGAGCATTTATAAAGCTAATTTTGTCTTGCAAATACAAGTGATTCGACACCTAATAAGAGTATGCTACGTGTGTAGTAATTTTGTAGACCCAAATTCAATATTCAAACTCGTTATACCACCTCCACCAGAAAGAAAGGGAAAAAAATTATTATACCCCATCTGGTCGATGATCTTCCAACTTTAGGCTCATCCCTTGGCCTGAAACAGAAGTTAGGCATGTTTACTCCTGTAGTTTTTCGGATTTGACGTGCTACACAACAAATAACTCCTGCAAAAGAGAAAGCAACCCTAATATGTTACTGGAAGATGGCATTAAGGCGATTTTTACATGAAACAGAGACATCAAAATAACAAACTTCTCCCCCGTAAAACAAGAGAAGCAACAAAGTTCACAAAATGTTGTCAAAATACTGACATATGCCAAGCTATGAATCTGATCCTGTAAGTTATCGAGGAGCAAGAGAACCAACCACTATTATCCAATAAAAGATTTGTAAGGACTCACTCCCACATGAAGGTTACAAATTCCACAGACGGAAAGCTAAAGAACCCAGGGTCCACTACAGTACATATCAGCTTTCAAAAGCATGACGAACCAGTGAGAAGAGAAATCATGAGTTCTGCAAACCTCCACTCCCTAAATCCACCTTCACTGTCCTGATCTCCAAGCCCAAGAGCTCCTGAAGAAAGATGTCCCCATGTATAGACAGAACATCAATGAAAAGTTTCAGGAACCTGAACTGTGACCGCATGTCAAGGATCAGAATTTGTCGGAACATACACAATATGTGGAGATGGAGAAGCCTTTAAAAAGAACATGCATGCCTTGTACAAGCATGTAGAGAAAAAAGTCCATTTGTGAAATCCACAAGTTAATGTTTGCCTCATGTGCAAGTGAGAGTGCATGCTGTTCTTCGGTCAAAGATCCCTCTGGCTGCAAATACTTCTCATAAGCGGTGGAAACAAGTAAGCACCAGAGATAAAAGACGCTCCTGGGAAGTTCCAGAGTCCAGACACCCTGATGCAGAATTTAAAAGATATAAATACAAAACACGAGAGCAAATTGAACCTAACTTTAGTAGAGAATTGCTTTGGAAAACCACCAAACGGTACAGAATAAACTGTATAATTCAGTAAGACAATGATCTCAAAAGAAAAACACAAACAAACCTCTGTCTGAATTCAGCACTACATAATCCCATAAATACAAGGTTGCTATAATTTGTGACGTCTCTGTACAACAAACAGACTTTATCATGGTCTACATCTCATAGTCACCAATTGGTTGTAGTCACCTTGAGAGGAAAAATGCCAGCTGGTGCCTATAGAAGAACTAATGCAATTCATTGGATCCCAATTCACTGGATTCAGAAAACATTTGGAGCT